TTTTTTAATATTAAAAAATTTTTTTTTTTTTTTATGGCATATAAAGAAGATAAAATATTTATTAATATTACATAACAATTATTCCATTTCTTTTTCCATGAAAATTCTTGAATTATTATTATTATTGATGGACAAAAAAATAATTTACAATTTCAACTGCTAAAAATAAACATAAAATATGTAAAAAGAAATTTTTGATGGATGGGAAGAAATACCCTTTATGTAAAATACAATAAAAAGAGTTAACTTCAGATTTTAATAAGATTTGTCATCAAAGTCTCAGAGAGTCGACGCGTTAAAAACCCTGATGCTGGTGACATCTGATGGAGTCGAAAGATCTGCATATTATCTCCATTTATGTGATGCTAAACTGATCAGAAGTACCTGCAATTATTTGCAATAAACCATAATGATTTTGTTATTATTATTATTTTTTCAAACCTAACAGAGTTTCAGTTGTAACAATGTGTTTGATGCACAGCCTGGGAATAAAAAGAAGAAAAAAAAGCTAAATTATAACAAAAGCTTACCAGAGCTGGCTAGGCCTGCAAGAAGAATGGAGTCAGGGGGTCCTCAGGGATTTAGATGCCCCTATTAATGCCTGATTCGTGTACTTTCTTTATATATTCAATACTTTATCAAGCAGACAAGTTCTGTCCCTCATTTCAAAAATCACTTATTTCTTTATTGTTTTTTCTCTGTTAATTTTCAATATTGTTTTAAACTTTTGTTTTGTTTGATTAGAATTTTTTTCCATCTAAAATGTTTCTAATATAAAGGCTAATTTTGTACACTTTAATTTGAACATTTCCTTATCTGTTGGTGTTTGTTCTATAGTATTGTTTATTATGTTACCATTGTTCAGTCTCAAACCCTATTTGTTTATTAACTAATTTTTTTTCCTAATGATCTATTTTCCTTCTTCATTCTGGTTAAAGTCTGAAATGTTGCTCTCAGAATGATAAAAATCTAATCTTTTCCTATTTTCCAAACAAAGTTAAGCAACAAAAAAAATCTAAATAATATTTTTTTTGAATAAAATAATTAATTTAGTTTTTAAATTATGATCCTCTTTCGGTCTGATTCCACTAAGGTTCAGCTGATTTCTGGAATTTACTGTTTTCTCAGGTAAATAAAAACTTCATCCATTTCTGTTCTGGATCATAAAATAGGTTTTGATATAAGCTGGATTATTGTCGTCTTTCAGGAACAAACCAGGTAGTGTTTTTTTCTAATTCTCCTCTCCAGTTATGTAAAAAAAAAAAAAAAAAGATCTGCTTATGTGCAGAAAGTTATGTTTTGGTTACAAAATAATTTCTATTTTTGTTCTTCTCTTTAGTTTCCTTGATATAATTTACTTCCTCTGCTGCTCTTCCTGTTCCTCTTCTCTCCTCTTCCACCTCTGTTTGTTTCCATCCTCTGACTCAGTCCAGCCTGACTTCCTGGAACATCCCGGCAGTCCGGCCAGCTTCCCGATTCGTAAAATAAAGGATCAGATTAATCCTGGGACATTGTTGTTCCTGTATAGAGTCCATCTGCATTCATTTCAGCTCAGACTGACTGCAAACCTGCGGTTAACATACAAATGTGTGACTTTTTAAAGACTCTGGCTCATCATTTCAGGGCAGAGATGTGATGTCAGGAAGCTTCCATGGGATGGCAGGTGACTTCTTGTGAGTATAACACAGAGTGACACTAGACCACTGACTATATCCATAACTGTACTGAAGCACAGGTGTCCAAAACTTTAATGTTAGGTAAATAAATCACAGTCCAAACTAACATCTGGTGTTTTCTGTCATAAAAACCCCAAAACAACAAAGGTTTAAGATATTTTTAATACTAGCTGCTCGCCTTAATACTAAACCGCCAGCATTATATGAGACAAAGTATTCTGATTGTTATAGATCTATAGATTACTGTAACAAAAAGAAAGCCTCACCTTTTCATTACTTCTTTGGATCAAATGTTTTCTGTCTTCTTGGTTTAAAATAAAGGGGTCTAATAATTCAACAGAACCAGATAGAGGTCTGTGTCTAAAACACTTAGTGTATTTAACTACCTTGGTGAATAAAGTCATCAGAACAGTTAGTCGCAAGATTTCTGTGATCCCTTTTGTATAAAATAAAATTCAGATGTCTGTGTCACCAGAACTGTCATTCAGTTCAGTTCAACCCAGTTTATTTATATAGTGTGTGTGTCACAGTAAAACAGGAACAGGCCAGATGAAGCTACCATTTTAAGAATAAGCAGAAAGAGAATAATGTTGAACTAACAAATTCAGCTGAATGGGATAATAGAGATAGAATGAAGTAGAATGATTAAAAAGGGGTCCCTATGTCCTCCAGCAGTGTAAGCCTAGAGCAGCAGAACTACAGAGATAGGTCAGGAAAACCTGAGTCACTCTAACTAAGCCTTTTCAAAAATAAAGGTTTAAGCCTAGCCTTAAAAGTAGACAGGGTGTTTGTTTTGTACCATTTTATTACTCAAAGTTTGGGGCCACAAATGGCCCTCAGGCTACACTTTGGAGGCAAGTCCATTTTTCAAAGAATAAACAGCCTTTAAATGGTTCTGTTAGAATTTGTTGTGCCCCCTATTGTCTTTCAATCTTTGAGTTGAATTGTTTTATTTTAGTTCATGTCAGCCATGTTGTGAGGGACCGAAACAAAAAATCAGAGAAGCACAGGGAAGTCATTGATGAAAAAATGGTAACACATTTATTTGGCAAAAAATAAAGTTCAAACTTCAAACAAGACCGGGCCCATCAAGGAAAACAAATGAAAAAAATTAGCATAATCCAAACCTGACACAGGAAAAGACCTACCTCACTGACACACAAGGGAAACACATATATACACTTGATCATACCAGTTTGAAACAAGAGGGAAACATAAAATATATTTTCCTAAAGAAAACTACAACAAAAGACCAAACTAATCAGCACCATACTCAATCAGCAACCTATGAGGAAGAGGACTTAAATATTAAACTTTCCAAATGTAATTATAGAAAACAAAACCAAATACAGAAACCTAAACCCTTTCTACACCCCTTCTAAATGCAAGTGGAAGAGTCCAACTAGGCCTCCATGTCAATGAGGAGATCCTTTGCAGCTGGGGCCTCCTTTCCTTTACTGGCTTCACTCATTAAAGCCTCCCAGGAACTGGCTACTCAAATGAAAAATATATTAAAGTAAAGAAAACCAAGCAAGAAATGACAAAATCAGTCAACTAAATGTGTGCACCCAAATAGTTAACCAATGCCAAAGTAAAAAAAAATGAAATACAGTACAGTAAAATAGATTTAATGAAAGAATTACCAGACCATTTGTTGTGTGGTTGCATATGCAGCCATCGCACATGTTTTTTTTTGTAATAGGGTGGAAGCTGTTGGACCATAATGCACTGGGATCAGCCTGCGTAGATTTGCTGAAGATGGAGAAGAATTTCACTAATGTGTTTGCAAGATCAACAGACATATCCCAACAAACTTGTTGTGTCAGGCGCCATCTTTGTGTTGCAAACAGATTACGGTTCATCTGTGGCACAGCTAGGGCTGAGTTAAAGAAATCGATTTTTCAATTCTGAATTGATTTTCACATTAGTTCCTAAAGTTCAATTCATATAACAAAGATCAATTAAAACAGCATTGTCCTTATAGCTGTTTTTAAGCCAACAATTAGTAACTTTTCAACCTTCATAAATAGGGATGGAACGGTTCACAAAATCCTCGGTTCGGTTCACGGTTTCATGGTCACAATTTTCAGTTTGGTATATGTTGATTGTTAGCCTGACATGTTGGTCGTGTTGCTGTTAGCATAAACAAAACGTGTTGCACTTTTATTCACAACTTTCCTCGTAGGTCACTCTAAATGCAAAGTGGTCCCATACAGCAGACCTATAAAGTGCTGCTGGCGCGTCTTCCAACTCCTGTTCTTTCCCACTCGCCAGTCCGACACAATTCTCCACAACAACTGATTTTTTTCTGCTACACCCGGCTAAGCTGCTTCACTTCTTCTTCTTTTTTACTACTGGTGGTTGGGTTTGGTCGCAGTACCGCCATCTTCTGCTCTGGAGTGTAAACGCTTCCCCTATGAGAAAAAGGAGCAGCGCATGAACCGAACGCAACACACGCGAACCGAACCGAGACAGTCGAACCCAACAGTTCGGACGGTTTTCATAAACCGTTCCATCCCTATTCATAAAATATTGTCATAACTTTTATTATTATACGTCGACTTACATTAGTTAGATTCATTACCTCATCACTGTTTATCTTTCACACAGCCACTGGAAACAGAGATGTAGTTCAATCCAATTGCAGGCGACCAAAAGATCAGGATTTTACCACACAATGCGATGTTCCTCATGGGAAATGCGGTCTTCCATTTAGACAAAACAATACAGCTTTCATCCACTGGGGGGAGCCAAAACTGGATGTTCTTTAGAACCGTTATTAAGCCTCAATATCGATGCGATTAAGGTGAGTTCTGCAGCCCTAGCTCATGTTTTTCTCTCAGGTTGGGACCTCTGAAGGGTTTGAAGTTTTAGAGACCCTTATTAGTTTTATTAAACAGGTTCCTATTTATCCTAACATTTGAAATAGCGGTAAGGGGCGGGGTTATCTCCAGCAGTCACTGAGCAGTATGTGGGGTCGGACTGCCAGTCCATCACAGTGTAGCAGAAACACACAACAGCACATTCATACCCAAGGGCAGCTTTGATGGACCTGCATCGTGACTTTTCAAAACTAAAACTAAAATTGAACCGCGGCAGTTTATCGCCACAGGCTCAAAGTTCAGAGCTGTACTGTAACTGTAAACTGTTCCAAAGGTGGATACCTACAGATCCTAGAGATTTAAAGCTGCGGATCTTTAAAGTTCAACATCTTAATCTTTGCTGAATCTTTTACAAAGTAAGTTTAAATTGTCTTTGAGTTACCTTCTGCTTCGGTCTGTGTTTAATGGGAACATAGATTATTGCCTGAAAAGAGTTTTTACTTGTCATCTTCGATGCTTAAACCAGGAAGCAGTTTGCTATCAGATACCAGACCTATATAAGGAACTTTAAAGTTTTTTTTTTAAGTTTTTATGTAGAAAACCTCAAAGCACTTGGTGCTACAAATTTTAAAATATGCTCTAAATGTTGTCAAAGAGGAAGTGAATTCCTTCACCGTTTAAATCAACATGATGGAAATGGGTCTGAAACTCTTCATATTAGTTTTACTGTCATATTTGGACTAAAAGAGCTTTTTATGTACTTTTTCGTTAGTTCAGAAAGTAAAAACCTAGATTCAAGCACCATCTTTTGAATTTTTATCTCCATTGAAATATTAAAGGGTATAATCTTCAAAGTTGCAGGATTTATTAAACCCTTTTAGAACCATGTCATAGATATTTACTGGTAATGAATCATTGGTTGAAAGTTGTCTTTTTAAGTCTCCTGTTTGTCCCGTCTCTGTTGCTCCGGTCCAGACGCTGTCCTGATTGTTCTCACTGAGAGACGGCGTCATGGATTCGCTGAGGAGAGGCTTCTCCAGCCTGCGGATGCTCATCGACAGCCACGCTCAGCAGCCACGCACGCAGGCTGCCACAGAGCACGCCGAACACAACAACAACCTGGAACATCATGGAGGTGCAGCTACCTTTCCGCCTCTACCTGCTTTTCGCATCTAAAGATAGAAGTTTTTGGCCTTTTTTTCTTTGCAGCGCAGCAGAGGAACAGATTTCCTGTCTGTTTATGATTCTCAATCAGTTTTAGGTCTGATGGGATCCAACGAGGTTCTCAGAGTAAGAACTTTTCTTGTCTTCGGTTGTTTTTGATCATCACATCCCGGCCATTCTAACACATTAACGCACTCTGATCCAAACTGTCCTGTTGTGGTTCTTGTTGGTTCGGTCTGGCAGCCCTCAGTTCTCTTTCAGGATCTTCCTGAAGTTTTTCCCCATTTTTTTACACCGCCTCTAACCAGACTCCCTTTCTTCATGTCAATCTTACTTCAGAATTATGTTCCCACCTGTGGTGTGAGTCTCTGCAGCTCCTCCAAAGTCACTCGGAGCATCTGGGCTGCTTCTAGGATCAATGCTGTCTTTGTGTTGCTCCGTTTCGGCTGGTTTAAATGAACTTAACTGCTTCAAACGTCTCCAGATCCTCCTCCCTGACATGTCTGCTGTGATTGACGGTCTTCAGGATGCTTCTTGTTCTTTAATGTTCTCTAACAAATGATGGCTGGATTTATACTGAGATGATATTACTTTTAAATTTGCTTCTGAAGTCAGCTTTTAAAGTTTATGTCTGATTATTTGGGTAAAAGAGGCAAAAACTCATAAGAGGAATCTTTAAACATAATCAGAAAGGATCAGTACTGATGTCATGTTGTTTCTGGCCACCAGGTGGAGCCCTTACCGGCGCTACAGTGTCTCAGCTGCTTCTTAACGTTGGTATGTTGGATCAGATGAGTGGTTTTACAGTTTATATCAGGCGGAGGACCCACCAAACTTCTTTTCCTTTGATTATCTTTTTCCCCTCCAGAGTGTCGAGCTGTGGTTGCCACGGCGGCTAAAGTCAAAATCCATGTTTCCACCGTCGACTCTTACGATGTCAGGAAGCACTGCAGCACTCAGATAGCAAAGGTACACACTTTCCACCTTTCCAGGGGCTGATAACTGGTCGGTTAGAGAGCTCCTGCTCCTCCCGGCCTGCAGGGAACCGTTCCGCACATTGCTGAACGTTTGGGGCTTGTGTTTGCAGAGGTCAGAGGACGGCGCGTTTGGAGCTTCAATGGACTGCTCTGTGGACTGCAGGCTGCAGAACCACGGCAGGATGGAAGTCAGGGTTTACAGGGAAGACGATTCCAGGGAGCACTGCACTGTGAGTGTTTGACTACAGCTGTGTGTTGGTGTGCAGGAGCAGAAATGTGCCTGTAAGAAGATTAGAAAGGAGGATGTGGGAAAGCGGCACAAAATGAGTAGATTTCACTCTGAGATAATCTCTAACACGCGTTGATGGATGGATGGATGGATGGATGGATGGATGGATGGATGGATGGA